ATATGTACCTAAAATTACCAAAAACTTACTTAGCATTTCAAAGTTTACAAAAGACAATAATGTGACTGTAGAATTTAATGCTGACTGTTGCATTGTTAATGATCAAATAACCAGGGAAATGTTCCTGCAAGAGGATCTTAAAGAAGGCCTATACCAGCTGAATATTCCCTACACCAAACCTGTTTGTTCTGCACAGCCCTCACAGTCAAAATTTTAGCCTAAATAATTTTGTTTCACATTGTAATAATGTAGTAAAAAATGGCTTGTCTTCTCATTGTTCTAATAATACTTGTAATCAGAATGTCCTAGATACCACTATTGCTTTCAGTCCAAAACTCACTCAAGAGCATTGTAAGCTTGATTCGAATGTTCTATCCTCTGTTTCAAATACTTGCAATCCTATAAAATGCAATGTTGTAATGAATAAAGAAAATATTAATGTGCCTACAAATGATGATTTTATTGATGTATATATTACCTCTGCTGTGTCTAAAAATTATGATGTGCATCCTGCTACTATTTGTCTAACCTTCTTGATGTGCCTAAAAATGATAATCTTAATGGTAGAACTAATGTGCAAACTGCCTTAGCTCTTCCTAGTACTAAAACTTCATGTTTCACTGTTAATAAAAATGCTCAAGATTATATAACCTAGAACAGAAGACTAGGGCATCTCCATTCTATCATCTTATATAAAACCTTATCCCACTTACCTAACTCAAAATCTGTCACACACACACAAACTTCTTCTTTATCCTGTGATGCATGCCAACTTGGCAAACTTCACAATGTCAATTTCCCTTCTTCCTCTTCTCATGCCACTGCTCCATTAGAATTAGTTCATAGTGACATATAGGGTCTTCCCCCTTTACCTTCTTCTGAAGGTTTTAGGTATTGCAGACAATTTCTTGATGACTACAGCAGATACACTTGGCTGTTTCCACTTAGAACTGAAGCTGAAGTCAAGTCCATCTTTATTAAATTTCATCACCTTGTTGAGAGGCAATTTGTTTACAAATTAAAATGTTTACAATCTGATCAAGGAGGGGAATTCATAGCACTTCATACATACCTCACAAACTTAGGCATTCAGTTTAGACATTCACGCTCACATATCCATCAACAAAATGGTAGAAGCGAAAGAAAGTATAGGCACATAGTGGAGACAAGACTAACCTTGCTTCCTCATGCTTTAATGCCTCTTCAGTTTTGGTGGCTGTCAATTGAAACTACTGTTTATTTAATTAACATAATGCTTGCCTCTATTTTGAACAATGTCTCACCTTATCAAATGTTGTTTAAAGTATCTCCTATCTATAAAAGCTTAAGGGCCTTTGGATGCTCTTGTTTCCCTTACCTTAGAGTTTTTAATTGCCATAAGTTCAGTTTTCATAGTACCAAATGTGTCTTTGTTGGGTATAGCTTAGTTCATAAAGGCTACAAATGTTTACAACCTAACAGTAAACTAGTCATTTCACCTAGTGTTAAATTCAATGAACTAGAGTTTGCTTTTTCTCTTAACACCTTTCACCCTCAAGTTGCTCCTCAATCTAATTTTGAGTCATCCCATACTTAGTCTACATCTAGTTCATCTTTACATTTTCTATTCAAACCTGTACCTTCTCCTGAGTCTCCACAAAGGCCTTCTAAAGATCCCTCTATCGCAACTAATTCTTCAGGTAAGTCTGATTCTTTAACAGCATCAGTTGGTGCTTATTTGACAAAATCACATACTGCACATCACACTCCCTTACCTACTTAGTTCAACTCAGTTAGAACCTTTAGACACACACTCACACCAACCTGCATACTTAAATACTTCAATTAACTCCCTTCTTGTCATTTCAACATCCCAATCATTACCAACCTGTAATCTTGAAGTTAATCTTACCCTACCATACACTTCCACATTTCAATTTGCCCATTTAGTTAATACATCATCACCAAACATTTCCAAAAATCAGTCTACACACCTAAACACTTCAGTTGATTCCCTTCCTGTTATTACAGCTTCCACTCATTACCAGCCTATAATCTCGAGATTGATCTTACATTACCTTATAATTCCACATCTCAACCTAGACCTTTAACCAATCCATCATCACCAAACACTTCCACACCTCAATCTATAGACTCAAACACCTCCACAATTCAATTACAAACTCAAACACTTCCACACATCAGTCTACAAACTCAAACACTTTAGACCCTCATCTGCCTGTCACCTCAGAATATCATACTTTACCATCATGCTCACTTGAGGTTGATCTCACATCATTAAAGAATTCTACTGATTTCATGAGTCTCAAATCATCTACCTCAAAGGGGCTGGATTCGCCCATGCCTACAGCTCCGTCATTGTTTGCCAACCAACTAGTGAAAACTTAAAAAAAAAAAACCACTAAACCTTGAGCAAAAGAAATAATACAATATCAAGAAGCTAAAAGAAAATAATGCAATAATATAATACTTTCCTGCTTGAATAAATTTATGAAAAGAAAAATCTTGAACAAATATTGAAAATAACATCCAATTCACAAGGAAACAAAAACTTTCTAGTGGAAAAACCTCTTCAATTTCAAGAGAGCAAAAACTCAGGAGAATCTAATGATCAACTTAAATCCAATATAATCAAAAGAGTTTACAGTAATCACAATAAACCAAAATATATTTCACACAAATTTAGAACTCAATTATAACTCTAACACAAGTAAAATACATAAATGTTTACAAAGAGATGGATTAAAATCACTAGAGAAGCAATCAAACTTCAAGCTGTATAACTTCAAGTCCAGCCGTTAAAATCAATATCAACCATCTAGATTAAAGATCCACACATCCTCTAACAAATTATAACATTGATATTGATATTAATAAATTATTTAAGACTTAATTTTTTTTTCTTTTCAAGGGATTTAGAAATTAATCTCTTGGCTAAGCTTTTAAATGAGATGTGCATAAAGAAAAAAAATTAGATTGTATGATAAGGGTCTTTTATATATAGTATATATTAAACAAAATTGCTTTAATATAAAAAATACTAGTAATTGCGAAAACATTGCATAGAAATTTTTATGGTATATGTAATTATATATATAACATGTTTGGTGGCAAAAAAAAAAAAAAAAAAAAAGAAGAATTAATATTTTTTATTTTTTTTTCCATTGTTTTATTGGTGTACCTTCCATTGGATTTTATTAATATTATTATTATTATAGTTTATTTTGGTTTTCTTAGTTAATATTCTTTACAATCAAAGTCATAAATCTATCAATAGAATGAATTTTATATCGAATCTAATAACTAGCTCTAGAATTTAAAAAAAGAATAAGCATTTAAACTATATATAAAAATAAAAAAATATATATAGTTCATCATTTTTCATATTGGCTTAAAAAATGAGACCCAAAATTTATAGAGTGGGCCAATGTCTTGAAAGTTTGACAAACAAGTATCAATAATACTATACTTACAAAGAAATATTATAAATATTTTTATACAAAGTGAGGTGACTAATACTATACTTACAAATAAATATTATAAATATTTTTATACAAAGTGAGGTAGCAAAAAATAAATGGAATAATAAAATTTACCATTCCATTCATTTTTTGCCACATTACTTTATATATACATCTTTGTAAATGTAACATTATTAAAAAAAAAAAATTAAATAATTATATTTTTCTTTTTTAATTTGAGGGTAGGGGTCCGCCCCTGGTTTCATTTACAGTGGTGCGAACCTGAAGGCAGGTGCTGTCCTGAAGATCAGCTGCAATAAAGGGGAGCCTGGATTTAACCAAGGAGCTGGTTTTGTAATGGAAAAAGGCATGAGTGAGTATCATCCTATCAGCTTTGTGACAAAGGAGCAAAGAGGGATTTTCTTCTGGCACCAGTACTCAGCTTCAGAGATGAATCTTATACTGTTTATTTCAAAATTACGAATTAATTTAACAAGAAATTAGGAAACAGAATCCTAGTGCTAGTTAATGTTGCTATTTATACGTTGCAATTGTAATGATATGTTGTAATTTATCTTATCTTTATTATTACATGACATTTAGTTAAGAATTTTAATTTATAAAATTTTACATATCATTACCGTTAAGTGAACGTTTATGTTTTTCTGTTAGTTTTTGTGAGCGGGGTTAAAAGAGTAATTTCGTAATAAATTTTAAAGTTATTAATAACAATAAAATTACAATTTAAGAAAATAATAACAAAACGTTAAATCGCAGCCCTACCAACAACCACTTAGTACTTACTCGGTTGTGCGCACAACTGCTTGTACCCACCTAGCGATCCACAGCCATGCGCACCCCTTTCTCCACCATGTTTCCCCCAGTCTCCTCAACAACACCACATCACGGGGAGGTGCAGAGTTGGAAGAGGAGAGTTTAAAAAAGCACGGAAGATATTCGATGAAATGCTGAAAGGTTTCTTTTTTCCTTTTGGTGTGAATTATGGTAGCGTTGGGCGGCTTGCTGGTTGCGATGGTTGAGATGTTGTGGGGGAGTGTTGCGTGTTTTAGGGGAACAACGGTAAGAAGTGGGGTATTAGGCATGGGAGGGTGAGGGCATTAAAGTCATTCAAATTCTTACTGTGAAAACTAACGACCACTACTAACGGCAGAGGGTTTTTATTAACTACTAATGATATACCTTATCCTTCTCACTCTTCATTTAGTTGCAGTTAAGAGTTAACAGCATCCTTACAACAGAAAAAATATGTCTCTTTCTATTCTTGTAAGGATGACCATGCCAATATTATCATTTCCAACTAACGTCCATGTTTTACTATAATTTTGCCGACTAGAAAATGGGTGACCATATCAATTTAATTATTTGAGTCGTACTCTGAAACTGACTAACAGCAAGAAGGTTATTTTCTTTACTTATCTTAACAGCCTCTGCATTGTCTCTCAACACTTCCTCTCTATAAATATTATATAGATATTTGAGAATTTTATCCTTGAATTATCAAACAAACAAACATAAAAAATGAAAGGTGTTCTTATCATTCACATAATATTGCCTGTGTTTCTCTTCTGGGGTTTTGCTTTTGGTAAGGAGTGTACAAACAAAATACTTCCTGGATTTGATTCACAGGCTCTAAGAGATAGCCTGGTAACAAATGAAACCTGGAAACAGGAGATGTTATCTCAGTACCAGTTGAATCCAACGAATGCCTCGGTTGGAGCAAATGATGGTAGCTGGGAATCGATGTACAAGAAGATGAAAAATCCTGTTGAGTTTAAGTTGCCTGCAGGATTTCTCCAGGAAGTGTCCTTGCATGATGTGAGGTTGGGTCCGAATTCATTGCATTGGAGGGCACAAGAAACGAATTTGGAGTATTTGTTGATGCTGGAGGTTGATAGATTGGTTTGGAGCTTCAGGAAAACTGCTGATTTGCCAACTCCAGGGATTCCATATGGAGGCTGGGAGAATAGTACCAATGATCTCAGAGGTCATTTTGTAGGTACGTGACTAATAATGTCATTCATATCATCCTGAAAATCTGATTTGTGTGTGTTTTTTTTTCTAAATTGATTAAGCTTCAATTGTAATGTAGCTAGTTATCCGAATTTTAGTTGACAATATGGTTTCAAATGACTTTCTTTCTTCAAAAATTAATTTGAAGGACATTACTTGAGTGCTTCAGCACTAATGTGGGCAAGCACTCACAATGAAACTCTCAAAGAAAAAATGTCGGCGCTGATGTCTGCTCTATCCGACTGTCAGAAAAAAATTGGTTCCGGTTATCTTTCTGCTTTCCCATCTGACCAATTTGATCGCCTTGAAAATTTAGAATTTAAAGTCTGGGCTCCATACTACACCATGCACAAGGTAAACGCCACAACTTCTCTTTCTTTCACTAGAAGCAATTAATTATTTATTTTGTTTGTGTAAAATTTGACAAAATTCTGCTTTAAACTTGATCAATCTGACAGATTATGACCGGCTTGTTGGATCAATATACATATGCTCATAATACTCCAGCCTTAAACATGACAATATGGATGGCGGAGTATTTTACTAACCGTGTTCAGAATGCTATAAGAAAATATAGTTTGGAAAGGCATTATCAAACGCTTAATGAAGAAAGTGGTGGCATGAACGATGTACTTTACAGGTTGTACAACATAACGGTAAGTAACTTCATTAAATGATGCAAAATCAACCTCTTGCGCCCTCTCAGCAGAGGTTTATACATATAGTTGAATGATCAATTCTGATGCTCGGCTGTTATGTTACTGATCAATTCTGATGCTCGGCTGTTATGTTACTGAACTCAAGAGGGACAAAAAGCATTTCATATTGGCTCGACCCTTTGACAAACCATGCTTTTTAGGACCGCTTGCAATGCAGGTAACTTGATAATTGTTAGAGTCATGAAAGTGACTCTATTTCGTTGATAAAAAGATCCCATATGTAATTGAATTGAAGTTATATTGAGACAATTAAGAGAAATTATGAATTTATGTATAAAAAGCATATTTTGAGTTTTTCTTACTAATTTAGCATATTTGGGATAAATTTGGAAATTGTGTGAGTTGATATTAGGTTGTGATTTATGGATTAAGGGTGATTTTGTCTCATTTATGCTGTTCAGGGGGTAAAATGTTATGTTTTAAGGGGCTGATTTTGTCAGGTTTCAATCATGCAGGGACAAATTAAAATTTGCCAAATTTGTATAAAACTACAGTGCAAGTCGCAGATTGGGTGGCTGCCGCCCACCAAAACTCTTCACCTTCTCCGATCAAGCTACGGCGACCCCTCATCTCCTTTTTCGGTGACCTTTCGGCTTCCCCTTGCTCCGGTCACCATCATCCTGTCATCACCATCGTGAAACACGCATTCCACCGCGACGCTTCATCTTTCCACTGCGACGCTTCGCATTCTCGGCCAGATTTCACCGTTTCCCAGTGACGTTTCGGCTCCCCAAGACTGGATCTCCCTTCCCCACGGCCGGATCTACACTTCCCTAGCTTCAGCCATCGCGAAAACCGCTGGAATCCGCTACTTTGCCGCCACGCCTCTTCATCTTCCAGCCCAAATCTTGCTCATTTCTGGCGACTTCTCACCTCCCCAGGACCTGATCTGAACTCCCCATAACCAGAGCTTTCCATCGGTACCTTCGGATCCCATTTCCGCCACTGTTTTTCGGAAGACCCGCCGGAAAATTAACGTTTTCCGGCGAGTGCGGCTGTTCGTATTCCGGGCTGTCCGTTGGTCATTTTCACCCCTTCTTCACATCATATAGCTCTCAGTTACCTCCTCTCCGCCATGATCAGCTCCGTTTCCACCGTTTCAACCTCCGTCATCACCACCATGAGCGGCTGAGTTCTCGGTTGTCTGTTACAGTGTAGGCGAGATCGAGATTGACTCTATTGATCTCCTCATCAGCTCTTGACTAGTTGGATGAGCCCGAATGTTGGACATTGGTTAAGTTTCTTGTATTCAGATTATATTTGCTTTCGTTTCATTTTGTTTGCGATGCTTTAATATTATTCTGATGCTCGACGTGTTGAATTGATAATGTCCATTGAGAACGTTTATTAATACATAACTTTTCACATAATTGAATGTTGGTTTGAGATTATTAAATGTTGATTATGACTTTAAATTGCTTCGGTATTGATTGCAATCAAGTTGTAGTAGCGTTTAATATCATTTCTACTAGGAATGCATTTGTTGTGTAATTAGTTGAATGGATGATACAGGTTGATAGGTTGTACTTGTTAACGTTGTACCAAATAGTGGTGTTTAAGGGTTTAGCGTTTTTCGGTTAGTTGATGGTAGTCTTTAACCAATCGATCTGTAACTAAGACAACAGGGAGACAGGATAGATTATACCTAGATTGCCGGAAGCCATTTTATTGATTTGCCTAGCCTTGTAGGTTTAGGAAATTGAAGAGCGAGGAGAGGAATTGTGAGAGTTGGTCTTGAGTCAAACCGAACCCGTAGCAACAACTCTTTTAATATTGTGTTTTAGTTAGCAATTTATTTAATGCTTTTAATTTCCTGCAAGTAATTAGTTTTCTTAGTTTTAATCAATCATTTTGCCAATTTCTCTTTCGTTAACTCAAATATACATTAGGTCATTACTCTTGTTCTCTATGGATTCGACCCTGCTTACCGCTAACTACGGTATTTATGTTTAATTTTGTGACCGTGACGACTGGTTCGATAATAATCAACTAATGTAGGCAGGAAATTAAGAGCTTACAAGTACTTCAATTTGTTCTTTTCTCTTTATGTAATCCAATTTCTTATGCTGGTAGGATGATTTCCTATCTGGTTTCCATGCCAATACACATATTGCTCTTGTTGTTGGAACGCAAAGGCGATATGAAATCACTGGTGATGCTGTTTCCAAGGTAATTTTCAACTTCTTAGGTGATATGTATATATAATCATTTTAGTTTAAATTAAAAGTTCTGGAAAAAAAATTAACTTCTTCTAATATTTGTGTTGCCAGACAATAGGGACTTTCTTCTTGGACATTGTTAATTCTTCTCACAGTTATGCAACAGGAGGAACATCAGCCATGGAATTTTGGTACTAAAAAGAAGAAAAAAAGGCATTTTGAGTTTAAATTTCTATTTAAACATCAATTGCCACCTAAATTTTCAGGTACTTTTTCTGAGTTTCTATCAATTATATCTGTCCTTTATTTTTCTGAGTAGGCAAGATCCAATGCGGCTAGCAACCACTCTAAGTCCAGAGAACGAAGAGTCATGTACAACTTATAACATGCTCACGGTATTCCATTAATCAATCAATCATTCACTGTGTGTGCTTAGAGCAGAATATATACCTAGATCATTTATCTTACAATTTCATATGAGAATTTTTTTCTGTAGGTGTCTCGCTATCTGCTTAAATGGACAAAATCAGTGGCATATGCAGATTATTATGAGCGTGCACTGACAAATGGTGTGTTTAGCATCCAACGCGAAACGGATCCTGGAATTATGATTTGTACACTTCCCCTAGGCACTGGAACTTCCAAGGCCAATAGTCATTATGGTTGGGGAACAAAATTTGACACTTTCTGGTGCTGTTATGGAACAGGTGTAGAATTCATTGCTTTCTATTGTGTTATAATTAGCCTTTTTAATGAACTGGATAGTTGATAGATTTTAATCTTTCTGCTCATGTAGGAATTGAATCATTCTCCAAATTAGGAGATTCAATATATTATGAAGAGGGAGCGAATGTTCCTGCTCTCTACATTGTGCAATATGTATCAAGCGCGATTAATTGGAAATCAGGACAGTTTGCGCTACATCATACTGTTGATCCTATTGTTTCTTGGGATTCTTACCTTCGATTGACGATAATGTTGAGTGAATCTTTAACGGTGTCGTCTTGCGCCTGAAGTGAAACGATGTCGTTTTGGTATTAGCTCAAGTGACAATCCTCAGCCATTGATTCCATTCAGATCTGACGAACATTATTAGCTCATTAAGTCAAAGTATAAAAGGTAGCCAGATCTGAGAATGCGCACAACAACTTGTTCTCCTTCTCTCTCGCGTTTTACATCAGTTTTAGTCTTCTTATTTTCTACTCTCTTGAACATTGTAATCAGGCTTAGGTTCTTGTGAATCTTGTTAGCAGAAATTACAGAGTGGTGTTTCTGGTATAGGCTTTCAGTTTTTGGGTTAGCTTATTGTGATTACAGGGAGGTTCGAGTGATTGTTGTATAAGTGTAAGAGTTGAGCGATTTGGGTTGTGATTGAGTTGTACTTGTAATACTTTGATCCTTATAGTGCAGTGAGTCCCAATTTGCTTGGAGCTCAACGTGGACGTAGTTTATTCCATTGGAATAAGCGAACCACGGTAAAAATCTTGTGTTCTTGATTGTGGTCTTGGTAGTTTAAGTCTTGTGATTCTATTTGTGAGTGTTGATTAATAGGTTTGATTTATGTTTCACGTGCAACAGTGGTATTAGAGCGAGATTAGGGTTTATTCGGTCTGATTTGAGTGATTCTTGAAACCTAGGGTTTATACAAATTGGGGGTTTTGGTTTAATCAGTCAAATTAGTGGCTTGGGGCTTAGAAAACCTTAGAATATCCGATCAATTTCGTGAAATTAGTTTGAATTCAACCTTAACCACGATTAGGGTTTCTGTGTCAATCCTAGATCCAAACAGTAATCCGTCACTATGACTACTACAAGAGTCGAAATCACCCAATTCGATGGGAAAATTGATTTCAATAGTTAGAAAAAGAAAATGAAGGCGTTGTTATCTCATAACAAGGTAGCCATCGCACTGGAAAAGGACGTGACCAAATGGTCAAAGGAGAAACTGAAAAAGAAGGCAGAGCTAGAGGAGGAGGCATACAATCTGATAATCATGAACCTCTCCGATACGGTCCCACGAAAGGTAAACGGTTTTGAAACTCCAACAGCGATATGGGGTAAACTCGAATCTCTTTATGCATTACAATCTGCTCCTAATCTAGCTTACTTGAAAGGTGTTTTATTTGCATATAAAATGGATAGCTCTAGGACTATTGATGAGAATATTGATGAGTTCTTGAAACTGACCCAAGTGTTGAAGGATACAGATCAAGAACTTGGAGACTCTAGTTTAGCTACGATTCTTTTGAATTCTTTAACTGAAGATTACCAGGTTGTAAAAAATGCCCTCCAATATACTAGTAATGTCCCAAGCATAGATTTAATAGTTTCAAGATTAAAAGCTAGGGAATTAGAGATTAAAGTGCAGAGAAGAACTGGTTGTAATCTTTTTGTATTTTAATCAGATTAGTAATTTTGTCCAGACTGATGTGGGCCTAGGAATAAGAAAAAGGGAAAACAAAACCGTAAGGCCAAAGGAGAAACCCGGAAGTGTTTCTTCTGTAACAAGGCTGGCCATTTGAAAAAGAACTGTTATGCATGGCTTAAGAAACAGAAACAAGGGAATACAGAAAGTAATCTAGCAACCTCTAAGTCCAGTTTAGAAGAATCTAAAGTTTTAACTGTTTCGAAAACAGAAAAGATAAATGATTGGGTAATGGACTCTGGGTGCTCTTTTCATATGAGTCCCAATAAAGATTGGTTTCAGGACTATGAGGAGAATAGGTTAGAAACTGTCTACATGGAGAATAATAATGCCTGTAGGGTTGAAGGGATAGGCAGCATCACATTAAAACTAAACAGTGGTAAAACTGTCAAGTTGACTAAAGATTGGTACATTCTAGAATTAAAAAGAAACTTAATTTCATTAGGTGTCTTAGATGAATCTGGTTGTAGTTATGAAGCTAAAAATGGTTACCTATATGTTTATAAAAATAACTGTTGCTTGAAGGGATAAAAAGAAATGGCTTGTATATTCTGCCTGGATCCTATTATGCTGATTGTTTAAATTCTGCTTTGGTTTCTACTAACTTGAATGTTATTGAAAAATGGCACTTAAGATTAGGCCATATGAGCCAAAAAGGGCTGGACATCCTCCATAAGCAAGGCCTGTTTGGTAAGGACCCTATTAAACCTCTTGATTTCTGTGAGACCTGCATTATGGGCAAGCAACACAGGTTGAGTTTCCAAAAGGGGACTCACCTAGCTGCCAACTGCTTAGAATACTTGCATGCTGATTTGTGGGGACCTGAAAAGGTCAAATCACATGGGGGTAGTAGTTATTTTCTATCCATAGTAGATGATTACAGTAGGAAGGTGTGGGTTTTCTTACTTAGGACTAAGGATGAAGCTTTGGGTAGGTTTAAAAGTTGGAAGGTTCTTGTAGAGAACCAAACTGACAGAAGAATTAAAACCCTTAGAACAGACAATGGTTTAGAGTTCTGTAACCAGGAATTTGACTCCTTCTGCACTGAACATGNGACTTTAATGAGATATTCTCCCCTGTTGTTAAATATAAGACCATTAGGATTATGCTAGCCATAGTTGCTCATGAGGACTTGGAATTAGAACAACTGGACGTTAAGACTGCTTTTTTGCATGGAAACTTAGAAGAAAGGATTTACATGAGACAGCCCATAGGTTTTGTAGATAAAAACCTGCCCAACCATGTATGCTTACTTCACAAATCCTTATATGGACTGAAGCAATCCCCTAGGCAGTGGTATAAACGTTTTGATGCTTTTATTCTTAGCATTGGCTTCAATAGAAGCAAATATGACAATTGTTTCTATTATGCTTTATATGATGAGATGCCTTTATATTTGCTGCTGTATGTTGATAACATGCTTTTAATTTGCAAGTCTAAACCTAGGATAGAAGAGTTAAAGAAAAAATTGAACTCTGAATTTGATATGAAGGATTTGGGAAGTGCTAAACGGATTCTAGGCATAGTTTGATAGAGGAACAGGTTAGGTTGAGTTTGATTGATTCTTAACAATGAGAAAAATCACGAGGTGAACGCAAGGAATCTTTAAATTGCTTGGAGCTTGAAGAGTAAAGCACTAATAATCTCTATCCATACTTAATTATTCCAGCGATAAACACTGGAATTGCTATAAATCTGACGGCATCTTTGTTTTTCCAGGATGGTGTAAAGACATAAAATGCTACTATTACTTGGAACACAAACTGAAGAGAGTGTCTTAGCCAAAACTCGTTATCATTTAAGGAGTAAGCTGTGATAGTATCGGGGCCACCAAGGTGCTGCAGAAGGAAAGGTGCCCAAAATGCTTGGAGCTTTAAAACACTATCAGCTGCAGATTCTCTTCGGCTGCAGGCTAGACAACCGAGAGCTATTGTTGCCAGCATGTCTGCTGTCAAGTATGCTAACCATACAGGAGATTGATCCACATTCTTCTAGTATATTTTCTTTTAGAACCGAATATGATGAGGATGATTTGTACCAAAAGGCTCAATAAAACTAAAACTCGAACTTCCCATTCATCCCAAAGTTTGATCATATTGTTCTGTAAAAGAATATTGCAAAGCCATCTCTTCTTTCCGACGATACAACTGTAGGCAACATAAAATCTTTTAAGAAAAAATTACAAACGAAACAATGCTGATAAACTATACTAGACTTGTGATGATTCATTGTATCATCACTGTAGACTTTTGCATAGTTCTAAAGACAAACTTGCATCTATACGTAGGTTTCCTGACGGAGACTAAATGTGTGTGTAAATTATGAGCGCAATACTTGCTAAACAAAATTGAAAAAAAAAAAAAAATAGTCTCTACCTTTCATATCTTTATATTTATTTATTGTAAATGCAAGTTTATTATATGTATATAATTCTAAATGAGTACAAATTAAAATTCAATTTAAATTCTCGCATAAGGTTAACTCTGTTTCACTTACACAAATTAAACTCTTGCTTGCTAGTGAGAATTCAAGTTTGGATGTTAAAAAGCCAAAATGTTTGCAAGAGAGATGTACTATATACAATGAGGAAAAAAAGACTCCTGATTATATCTATATGAAAATTTTCAGATGTGAAACTAAAATCTAGACTTGAACTCTCATTACTAAAAAAACAAAATTTTATATGTGATAATTTAATTTTTACTAATAAGTGTTGACTTTCGTGGAAATGAGAAAGAGAAGAAGATATCTGGAAAATTACAATCCACTGCATATATTGATGAGTAATGTTTCTTTATATACAAGAAGATAACCATGGTTAACTACTAACTAGAGTTAACTAAATGATTAAGTTAAATAACTGACTAACAACTATGCTAACAAACTAAACTGATTCTATTAATCAAGACTAACAGCAAACTAAAAGTAGTTAAACAGCAGGTTAACAAACTAATCAGTTTAATACTTCCAATACCCCCCCTCAAGTTGGAGGGTGGTAGAGATCCAGCACTCCCAACTTGTGTAGCAAATGATGGTGAGAATGTTTCCCAAGAGCTTTGGTAAGGATGTCTGCTGGCTGCTCAGAGGTGGGGATATAGGCAGTGCGAATGAGGCCATTTTAAGCTGCTCTCGGACTATGTGGCAATCAATATCAATGTGGCAGTCAATATCAATGTGTTTGGTCCTCTCATGAAACATGGGGTTGGAAGAAAGTAAGTGGCTGCTTGATTATCACAGTGAAGTGGGAACATGAACCAAGTCAGAAAAATTAAGTTCTTTAAGAAGCTGTACCATCCAAATGATCTCACAAACTGTAGTGGCCATGGCTCTATACTCAGCTTCAGAGGAGGACTTAGAAATGGTTTCGTTGCTTTGATTTCCAGGAAACCAAGGAAGAACAAGGAAAATACAGTAACCAAAAACTGATTCCTGGTCATGAGGCAAGAACCCCAGTCAGAGTCACTGTAGGTAGACAAAAGCATAGAGTTGGGTAGGGAAAAACAAACCCAAACTGGAGCTGATTTCACATACTTCACCACTTTGAGAGCAGCAGTCATATGGGATTGCTTGGGCTGATGCATGAATTGGC